GTGGTTTGGGCTTTGCTTCTGTGAAGATTGACAGCCTTGGAGACCCTGTGGGCAGTTCCACTCTGTCCTCTAGGGGCGCTGTGGGTCGGAATCCACTCCACGGCAGTGGGTGTGGTTTTTTTGGGTATATGTTTGCGGTCTGGGCTCTGGGCTTGGACAGGCCAGCAGGCTCTGTCACAGGTGCTCAGTGTCATCTGTCTCTGTGTGTCCCAGGCTGCCTCTTATAACCTGTGAGGGTGGCCTGGAGGTCTGGGAGGCTTGGCTGCAGGCTCGCCCCAGATTGTGCCACTGCAGAGGAGGTGGGGCAGAGTGGACACCCGCCCTCATGAGCAGTGCGTCCCCGAGGCCACGCCATTTCCTGGAACACCTTCCACGGCGCTCCCTGGGTATTCTTAGCTGCCTAACAGGTGCTGTGGATCGGGTGAGAGGCGTCTTACCCTCAACCTGCAGCCACGCTGGCCTCAGCCGACCTGCCCTTACCCGGCCCTGGTGGAACCCCACCCTGTGAGAGGCCTGGAGCCGCACCCGTCTTCCTCCTGGGATGGCAGCCAGGGAGAAAGCAAGCGGAGCAGTTAGCCGCTCTGGGGCTCCCCAGCCGTTCAGTCCACGCCCAGCTGGGGCGCTGACGGGGAAGGGTGGCCTGCTGGCAGAGCTCCCCCGGCCTCTCATCTGAGCTGAGGGCCCCTCACTCTTCTCCCCACAGTGCAAGAGGAAACACTCGCTGCTGTGCCCCGACTTCTCCCGCCGGGGCGTCTGCCCCCTCGGTGCCCGCTGCCAGCTGCTGCATCGCAGTCAGAAGCGACCTGGCAGGCGGGCCCCCTTGGCCCCCACGCCCAGCGATGCCTGCCCCAGGAGCAGGGGCCCTGCCGGCCATGGGCCCAGGTGACGGGGCGGGTATGGGTGGGTGTCAGCCCTGGGCGAGGTGCCCGCCCTTACACACAGCCCTCACCCACCAGCTCTGGGCCTCGAACCAGACAGACATTTCGGTCCAAAGAGTTATCTTCAGAGAACCTCCCCCCCAGTCTCTGTGGTCACACACAGCCAAGGACAGCCTTGGCCCAGCCTGGGGGAGCTGCGTAGGAGGTTGGGCTAGTGGAAGGGGCCACCCTGGAGGTCTGGGCAGGGCCGGCCTGGAGTGGGAGCCCTGGGCAGTGAGGGCAGTGGTCGGCGCCAAGTAGGAGCTTCTGCCCACGCCACCCCGGCCTCCTCAGGCCACCAGAGTATAACTTGCCTGTCCTGGAACCTTGGGCTCTGCCTGGACAGTGGGCCCGCGGGACTGGGGTGGGGCCTTCTCACATATGTGCCCCTGTTCTTCTCCCACAGGAAGTCACCAGCCACCCATCGGCCCACCAGGCCGACACCTGGCTGCCCCCGCTCCACCGTGACCACCCCAGATCCCCCCAGTTCCTCCCGGGCAGGCTTGGGCTCCCCCTCCGCCTCCCCCTCCGCCTCCCGGTCCCCATCCCCCTCGGCCTCCCCGGACCCTGAGGCGGCCTCTGTCCAGGAGACGGCGTCAGCCGAGATGGGCTCCAGGCTGCCCTCGTTCATCTCCCTGTGCACTTCGCGCAGCCCAGCCCGCCGGCCGAGCGCCCCCGTCCACGGGAGCCCCTGCATCAAGGACTCAGGTAGGCTAGGCCCCCAGACTCGGGGGGGGGCCGACAGGTGCGCGCCTGCCTGGTGGAGCCGGCCCGCGGTGCCCGCAGCAGCCCCCACCGCCCTGCCGCAGGCTGATTTAATTAGAAAGCACCCATTTCTGCTCGTTTGTTGGAGACGCCGCTGCCGCTTGTGGCGAGAACAGATGTTGCTCTCCCTGGCGAGCACTTGGGGCTTGGTAAATGACTCCACTCAGCCTTGTTGAGGAGAGAAAAGAGGGCTTTACGGCTGCAAACGACCCTTTCTGTAAACATTTTACAGCTCTCCGCGCGTTTGAGCGACGATAAACCCCAAGCAGCTCGGCGGGCTGCAAATTTGCGGCCATACGGCTATCATTTTATTGTCATATTTCACGGTCGTAACGTTAATGGAAGATGCTTGCTACAGCCTTCTGTAACGGCTCCACTGAGCTCACTCAGCGCCTGGCACGGAGGGCGCAGGAGGGGCGCCACTCGCTCCCAGCATCCACTCCGCCCGCCCAGCCAGTGCCAGCTCTACGCCCTCTGGCTGGGTGGGGAGGCCAGTGGGGGCCTGGCTGCTGGCCCAAGGCAGGCAGGTGTGGAGTCCTGCCTGGAGTGGCAGGCGGGGGAGGCGCTGCACCTGCCCTGCCCGGCTGTCCCTCAGTTGTCCTCCCCGAGGCCTTGGCCCGGCTAGAGCTGGGAGCTGAGGGGGTGGGAGGAGGTGGGCTTGGGATCCTCCGAGTCAGGAAGCCCGTTGCACCTGGCGGAACAGCCACCCCAGGGGAAGCGAGGCCTTGGGGCTCCAGAGCTGAGCCTGGCCCAGCCTGGCTCTGGGGCACCTGGGAGAGGGTCGGGCTTGCAGGGGGCATGTGGACTGTGCCAGGCCTGTGGGCCAGCCCCATGGGGGCATCTGTGGTTCCCAGGGACAGAGCAGACTAGAGGTTGGCAAAGGGAACTAATGTCCCCCGGACCACTCCATTGTCCTCTGGCCCCTCCCTCAGAAGCCTCCCTACACCCGCCCACAGCCCCCCCCAGACCACCAGTATCACCAGCCTAGGAGCCTCTGGGCTGCCTCCACCTAGCTGAAGCCACCTGACATGTTCACATATCACGTGTGTGTGCATGTATATATGCATTTGTGGGCATGTGCATTGTGAGTATGCATGTGTGTGACGTGTGCATGCACATGGTGTATGCATGCATGTGTGTGATGTGTGCGTGCATGGTGTATGAGTGCACATGTGCATTGAGCATGCATGTGTGTGCATGCATGTACACATGGGCAGTGTGTATGGGAGTGCATGTGTGTTGTGTGGGCGTTGCATGCATGTGTGTGCACGTGGTTGAGTATGTGCATTGTGTGCACATGTGAGTGTGCATGAGTGTGCTTGGGTGCAGTGCACGTGCATGTGCACGTGATTGCACACATCCATTGTGAGTGTGCATGTGTGTGTGGGCATGTCTGACAGCCTGGCTCGGTGTGTGGGCACAGTGAGGCGTGTGTTGTGGGCACCTGGATTCCAGTGTGGCGTCAACAGGGCTCCAGCTCTGAGAGCTGCTGCCTCCCTCAGTGGCCCTGCCCTTCTGTGGAGGCCGTCTAGGCAGGGGCCGATCTAGGCAGGGGCCGAGGCCCAGGGGGAGCATTGCAGGCACACCCTGCCTGCCTCCCCTCTTGGCCCCTGGAGCTGGACAGCTGTGAGCCAGCTCCACCTGGATCCCAGGTGTGGCCAGGGCTGCAGGACCTCAGCTGCCAGCGGCCACCCCTCCAGTCCGGCTCTGGGCCAGTGTCGTGGGCTACCGTGTGGGATGGTCTGCTGTAGGCCTTTGGCAGCAGTCCTGGCTGGACCAGGCCCTGAGCCAGCATCTGACCGCTGCCTCCTGGCCCAGGGAAGCCGCTGCACATCAAGCCGCGCCTGTGAGGCCTGGGACCAGCCACCGCCTCAGCGTCATCCCAGATGGACGCCAGTTCCACACACACTGCTGGGAGGGTGCGCACTGAGCCTAGGCGGCGGGGCAACACGGACTGCCACCCTCCGGGACCAGCATGGACCAGCCCGCCTGCCCCACCCCTGGGTCTACAGCAGCCCACAGGGCCCTGAGCTGGGATCCCACCAGAGGGCCCCTGCCAGACCACCGGGTGGCATTTTACATTCAGCAATAAAGGTTGTATCCCACGTCTGTGCCCCGTTGACTGCCGCCCGCTACTCCACTTAGCACTGTCCCAGAGGGACCTGGAGGCTGAGGTCACATGACTCCCAAGGAGCAGGGCAGGCACTAGCCTGGGAGTGGCAGGGCCCTCGGGAGGCCTGCTCTGGGCCTCCACGCCTGCCTGGCCCTGGGCGGGCATGGGGCGTCCAGCCAGCCCCACCCTGCCTCTGAGCAGGAATGTCCCTGAGGTGGTTCAGAGGCTGGGCCAGCCTCCTGTGAGGTGGGGGCGGGCCTCTGGAACATGCTGGGTGACGGGACACACTCTGGCCACCAACTGGGGCAGCAGCTGGCCTGGCCCCAACCTGAGTTTGCAGGTCATGGCCCTCAGCTCCGGGGCCGGATATGGGGACACCCTGGGGGCAGGGTCCCAACTGACAGGGTTCTGGGCAAGGCAGGGCCCAGCCCCTGAGCCCTGGACTCCAGAGGCTGCATGGAAGAGGCCGAGGGTGGCGGTGTCCACAGGCCCTTCCTCTCACCTTCCTCATACCCCTGTCGAAACGAGGAGTGGTCCACCCTTGAGGACTCCCGAGGTCCTGCCAACAGCCTCTGCCCCACGACTGGCCCAGCAGCCACGTGGGCCTGCAGTGAGGGCAGAGCAGGCCCGAGGAGGGCGGCTTGGACGGGCCCCACTCCGTCCCTCGGCTGAGATGGGGCCTCCCACCATGCTTCCCAGGTGCTCTGAAAAGTTAATGGTGTAAGGGCTTGGGGGATGGCCCTCCAGGAATGGCCTGGGCCTCGGCCGAGCCCCGCCCTCAGCTGGCCTGTTGGTGCTGAGGTGGGGCACCAGGCCTGCCTGCACCACACACAAGTCTGGTGGGGGCGGGAGCCCGGGTAACCACCCTCCTCTCATGGATATGATGACTTCTCCACGCGTCCAGTGGGGCCAGCACACCCACATGCCCTCCTGCTGGCCCTTCTTACTGAGGCCTGGAGTCAGGGTGGAGGTGACATTTGTGCTGAGTCCTGGAGCTGTGGGGGCTGCTGGGACCCCCAGACTGAGACCCGACGCTGAGCTGGCCTCCAGGCCTCGGGGACAGTGTCCTGCCTGGGAGACCGCCTTGGAGCCAGCAGGGTCCCAGCATGGAGAACCCGCCTAAGTTGCCAGCACACAGGTCATTGGGTCACTTTGGAGACCAGAGAAAGGGGGACTCACGTTCCTGGTCTGAAACCTATTTACCTACCGTGATCCAAACAGGCTGGCCGTGGAGGGGCAGGAGGGCATGGATCTGGGACAATAGGTGGCCCTGGGTGTGGGCAGAGGTGGGGACGCAGCCACGACTCAGCGTGGGTCTAGCAAATGTGGGTCTGGTGAGGGGTGCTGAGCGGCAGAGGCCAGGCCTGGACTTACGGGTGTGGGGAGGGTCCCCTGGGAGGAGCCTCAGTGGGTGGTGCCACGGGCCAGAGCCCTCCTCCAGACGTGTGTCCTCCTCCACATCCGGTTCAAACAGTGCTTTCTCTGGGCACCCAGCCAGCCACCCCATCTCTGTCCCATCATTCTCCCCACACCTGCAGTGGCTTGCAGACCTGCTGTCTCTGCTCGCTGTCTGTCCCCACCAAGAGCACATGCTTCAGGAGGACGGAAGGCTCTCTCCCCAGTGTCCAGCATACAGCAGGCGCTCGCTCCATAAATGCTTAGGGAGCCAACATGCACGTAGGAATATGTTCCTGTCATTAGTCCTCAGGGAGTGTAGCTCTAACCCAGCCTCCTTCAGAAAGACAGCAAACCCAGGCCCAGCTTCGCATGGACAGCAAGGGCCCTGAGCAGCCAAAGCCATGCTGAGAGAGAAGAGCAAGGAGGCAGACTCACGCTCCTGGTCTTAAACATACCACAGAGCTACAGTCATCCAAACAGGCTGGCAAAGGCAGACGCACAGAACAGGGAATAGAGTTGGGAGTCCAGAAGGACGTCCACCCTTGGATGGTCAACTGATTTTTAACAAAAATGCTAACAAGCCCATTTGATGGGGAAAGAAGAATTCAATAAATGGTGCTGGGAAGATTAGATTTCCATGTGGAGAAAAATGGAACAGGATCCCTGCCTCACACCATATACAAAAACAAATTCAAAACGGATTGAGGACCTAAATGTGCATATTAAAGCATACAGTTCTTAGAAAAACAAGCAGGGCGATGATATCAGGCTTGGCTTTGAACAAGGAATTATCTAGTAACAAGCATGAGCAGCAAAAGACAAGATAATATATGGGACCTCATAAAAATTAAAAGCTTTGTTCATCAAAAGACCTTGCCAAAAAAATGAAAAGACAAACCACCGACTGAGGATGTTTTTAGAAACCATGTATCCAACAAGAATGTAATAACCAAGTTATGCATAAGACTGAAACAACAAGACAGCATAGTCATCAAACGGTCTAAGAACTTTAGAGCAGACAGGTCAGCAGAGGACACTCACACAACCACCACACGTCAAAGACGCCGGTGTCACTGGGCATCAGAGAGGTACAAGTCAATAGCACAATGAGATATCATTTTACTCCCACTAAAAAAGTCTCTGGTGGTGTAGTACCTAAGGCACTAGACTGCTAACCAGAAAGCTGGCGGTTCACACCCACCAGCCACTCTTTGGAAGAAGGTTGGGCAATCTACTTCTGTAGTGATATCACCTCAGAAACCCAAGGAGGGGTCACTAAGAGTCAGGTCTGACTCCACAGCACATGACGACGACAAAAATAAAAACCAAACCCTCTGCCATCAAGTCAATTCTGACTCATAGTGACCCCCATTGGGTTTCTGAAACTGTCAATCTTTACGGAAGTCGATCGCCCCATCTTCTTCCCACAGAGCAGCTGGTGGGTTTGAACTGCTGACCTTCTGGTTAGCAGCCAAATGCCTTACTCACTACACCACCAGAGACAGAAAATAACAAATGTTGGTGAGGATGTGGGGAAATTGGAACTTTGACCCCTTGCTGATGTTGTTGTTGTTGTTTGCCATCGAGTCAGCCCCGACTCATAGCGACCCCTCCTTGGGTTTCCGAGGCAGTATCACTATGGAAGTAGGATTGCCCAACCTTCCTTCCGAGGAGTGGCTGGTGGGTTTGAACCGCCAGCCTTCTGGTTAGCAGTCAAGTGCTTTAGGCACTATGCTACCAGAGCTCCTTGCTGATGGGGATGCAAAATGGTACAGCTGTTGTGGAAAGCAGTGTGACGGTTCCTCAGAACCTGAAAATAGAACCATATGGCCCAGCAATTCCACTCCTAGGTAACACACCCGAAAGGCTTAGAAGCCCAGACTCAAGCGGAGACCTGTACCCCAGTGTTCATTGCCTGACAGTGAAACGGAGGAAACAGGCTAAATGCCCATCAGCAGCTGAGTGGGTGAACCAAATGTGATCTGTACATACAAGGGAAGGTGCTCAGCCGGGGGGGACACAAAGTCTTGACATGAGCTGCGGTCTGTGGATGGAGGTGGAAGACATGGTGTTGAGTGAAATGAGCCAATCACAAAAGGACAGACACCGTATGACCTCTCTTGCATTGAAAAAAAAAAAAAATGCAAACATACAGAGAACAGAGTTCACTAGTGTTTAGCAGGGGTGGGAAGAGGGGAGACTGGTGATGGAAAATTGGCACTGCTAAAGGGTAGCAGGATGGCCAGTTACTGTGATTGCCGTCACTAAGGTGTATGTCTGTAAAAAGTTGAGTTGGCAAAAATGTGTGATAAATATATTTCAACAAATCCCAAGAAAAAGTAGCTACCAAGCCTGCTTATGTACGGTCCAGCACCTCATGGGGTTTGGTTTCTTGGTTTGGAAATGGGGTTTTATGGACCATCCTAGTTAATGGGCGTAGTAATGTGTTTAATGCCTGTGTCCTACCTCCTACTTCAGTGTGTAGTGCCTGGGGTCTTAAAAGCATGCAAGGACCCAAGGCACGACTCCTGGTCTCCATTCACCTAGAACAAGAAGAAAAAGGAGAGTCATGGACGAGCGAAGGCTGCAGAACGTGGCTGACCACCTCCGCGACCAGAAGGACCACACGGTGCCCGGCTGCCATTACTGAACATTTCAACCAAAGGTTCCACCAGAGAATCCTGGTCAGAAGGGGAAATGTCGGACAGCGGTTCACCTGCTCACGGAATCCAGACTTCCTGGAGCCATGGAGGGTGGAGGATCCCTTGAAACTGTTGCCCTGAGATCATCTTTAAACCTCACACCAAAGTCTCCCCTGACGTCATCTTGAAACCAAAGAGCAAGTTAGCTGCCCTAGTGCAGTGCGTCTGGCTTCAGTTCCTGCTCTTTGAAGGTCGTCTGCTTGGGAGCGTACTGAACAGCCACTCGGGAGGTGGGGGCCTTGGAGGGCAGTGAATTTACGTTCACGAGAGAGGAGCAGTTCAGCAAGGGAGCGGACTAGTGGCACAACTCAGACTGGAACCAGTGGCGCCGAGGCATAGAAACTCTATCCTCAACAACAAGATAATTAATAAATCGGTCTGTTTTTAAAATTCACTGTGAGATAACACCGCCCTCCCCCAGGATGACTCTGATCAGAAAACAACGTGTGTCAGTAGGGACGGGGACAGGCTGGAATCCTCATCCAGTCATTGCTGGTGGGAAGGTAACTAGTGCAGCCGCCATGGGAAGTTAAACACAGAGCTGCCGTCTGACGCAGGGTTCCGCCAGCTACGCACCCAGGAGACGCGAAAGCAGGGGCGCCAACGTACATGTGCGCCCACACAGCCGACAGGTGAACAGGTGAGGAGTGAGCCCAACATGGTCCTTCCACCCAGCCGTAAGGAGGCGTGAGGCCCAGACACACAGCATGGTGACCCTCGAACGCATGGTGGTGCTGCGTGGAGTAAGTCAGACTACAGGACACGCAGTACGTGACCCCACTGACGGAGCACGCAAACTGACGCACAGACACGGAAGCCGGGCCATGGTTCCCAGGGCCAGTCAGTGCCGGAGGGGGGTGGAAGAACACAGGCGGGGACAGGGCGGGAATGTCATCAATGTCTCTGAATTGCACAGGTGAACCGTGTCCGAGTGGCAAGTGCTCTGTTACGTGTATTTTTACCTCCGAGCTGGAGGAGGGGCGTGGGTGAGGCCAAGGGCTCGCTCCCGGGTGGCACGGGTAATTTGCTGACCCAGCTCCTCTCAATGCACTGATGCCCCGCCCCACCTCCATCTTCCAGAGCGGCTGCCGGCCTTCACGTGTCATGGCCCAGGGACCCCGTCCAAGCAACGGAAGCAGCATGTATGTCCCTGCAGCAGGGCCCACGCAGGTTCTACAAGAGTGTGGCGGGAGGAAGGGTGCTAGGAGGAGGCCCTGGGGCTCCGAGTACTGCCCACGCCCTGCCCCAGACCCAGCCCCTCGGTCCCAGCCGCATCACCTCCATCCTGGCCGTGTCTCCCACCCCCATCCCCTTCGGCCGGGCTGTGTCCCCTCTGTACTGGCCATGTGTCCTCCATCCCTGGCCGTGTCCCCTCTGTCCCTCCCACCCTCTCTGCCTCCCACATCCCCTCTCCCACTGCAGCTGGCAGCCCCTCTAGATCCTTGTGGGACCAAGGCCCCCTGGACTGGAGCTCTCCAATGGCCTCCACCTCACTGGAGCAAAACCCAGAGCCCACAACGGCCCCCAGACCCCGGGCCAGCACCTCCACCCACTCCAACCCCCATGGCACCCCAACTGGGCCAGCTCCGCGCCCTTGCTCAACCACCCCACCCAGCGACCGTCTCCGCGCAATCTGCTCCCGTGCATCTCAGAGAATGGTGCACTAAGACACACCCTTCACTCTCACTGACGTCTTGAAGACAGCCTGTTCTCAAATGGGGCAGCCAGGGTCCAGGGTAACATGGGACACCCACAGTCCAGGTGTCACAGGGCACAGCCAGGGTCAGGGATCACGGGGGACAGCCAGAGTCCAGGGTAACATGGGATACACGGAGTCCAGGGGTCATGGGGGACAGTCCAGGGATCACATGACACCCAGAGTCCAGGGGTCACATGGGACATCCAGAGTCAGGTGTCATGGGGGACACCCCCAGTCCAAGGGCCACGAAGGACAGTCCAGGGGTCACGGGGGACAGTCCAGGGGTCACCGGGGACAGTTCATGGGTCACAGGGGACACAGTCCAGGGGTCACGGAACAGCCAGAGTCCGAGGGTTACATGAGACACCCACAGTCCAGTCATGGGGGATACCTACAGTCCAGGGGTCACACGGGACACACAGAGTCCAGGGGTCATGGGATAGTCCAGAGATCATGTGGACACCCACAGTTCAAGGGCCACAAGGGACAGCCCAGGGGTCACAGGGGACAGTCCAAGGGTCATGGGGGACAGTTCATGGGTCATGGGAGACACAGTCCAGGGGTCCCGGGACAGCCAGAGTCGGGTCACATGGGACAGCCAGAGTCCAAGGGTTACATGGGACAGCTCCGGGGTAACGTGGGACATGCACAGTCCAGAGGTCATGAGGGACATCCAGAATCCAGGGTAATGTGGGACACTCACAGTCCACATGAGACACCCACAGTCCAGGGGTCACACGGGACACCCAGAGTCAGGTGTCATGGGGGACACCCCCAGTCCAAGGGCCACAAGGGACAGCCCAGGGGTCACGGGGGGCAGTCCAGGGGTCATGGGGGACACCCACAGTCCAGGTGTCACAGGGCACAGCCAGGGTCAGGGGTCACAGGGGACAGCCAGAGTCCAGGGTATTGTGGGACACACAGAGTCTAGGGGTCATGGGGGACACCCAGAGTCCAGGGTAACATGGGACACCCATAGTCCAGGTGTCACACAGGACACACAGAGTCCAGAGGTCATGGGGGACAGTCCAGGGGTCACGTGACACCCAGAGTCCAGGGGTCATGGGGGACACCCCCAGTCCAAGGGCCACGAGGGACAGTCCAGGGGTCACCAGGGACAGTTCATGGGTCATGGGGGACACAGTCCAGGGGTCACGGAACAGCCAGAGTCCAAGGCTTACATGGGACACCCACAGTCCAGGGGTCATGGGGGACACCTACAGTCCAGGGGTCACACAGGACACACAGAGTCCAGGGGTCATGGGATAGTCCAGAGATCATGTGGACACCCACAGTTCAAGGGCCACAAGGGACAGTCCAGGGGTCACAGGGAACAGTCCAAGGGTCATGAGGGACAGTTCATGGGTCACAGGAGACACAGTCCAGGGATCACGGGACAGCCAAAGTCAGGGGTCACATGGAACACCCAGAGTCCAGGGGTCACATGGGACAGCCAGAGTCCAAGGGTTACGTGGGATAGCTCCGGGGTAACGTGGGACACGCACAGTCCAGAGGTCATGAGGGACATCCAGAATCCAGGGTAATGTGCGACACTCACAGTCCACATGAGACACCCACAGTCCAGGGGTCACACGGGACACCCAGAGTCAGGTGTCATGGGAGACACTCCCAGTCCAAGGGCCACAAGGGACAGCCCAGGGGTCATGGGAGGCAGTCCAGGGGTCATGGGGGACACCCACAGTCCAGGTGTCACAGGGCACAGCCAGGGTCAGGGGTCATGGGGGACACCCACAGTCCAGCAGTCACAGGGGACACTCCCAGTCCAGGCTCAGGATTCACAGCACATATTTTGGGGACCACAATGCCACCCATGACACCTCCTGAGTGGGGCACAGTACCTGTGACAGCAATGCTGATGGGACATGTCTCTGTGATGGTGACCTTACCTGAGACTCCATCGGGCCAGCAGCCTCCCTCTCCTTGCCGGCCTGGTAGAGTAGGCAGCCAGATGGGGGCCAGGAACTGTGGGTGCCTCTGGGACCCGAGGGTGGCCTCCAGCCGACAGCCCCCAAGAAGCCGGGGCCCAGTCCCACCGGAAACAAGTAGAAGGAGCTGAATTCTCCCAGGAGCTGAGTGAGCGTGGGAGCAGGTTCTTCCCCCGAGCACCAGGTGAGATTACAGCTGTGGGGACCCCGAGCAGGGGCCTGGGGAACCCGACCCTGAAAGCGCCCCCACAAGTGCTGCTGTTCGCAGTCGCTACATTCGTGGCAGCCCGTGACCCGCAGCGGGAACCTGACGCGCTGTGTACCTTACTTTACTATTCTGCTGGTTGGTTTTCTGTGACCTGAGCCCCGCTCTGGCAAACCACGCATTCCAAACATCGCTGCACCAGGGCCCCCACCCCAGCCCACATGCCCCGCCCACAACAGGACCTACAATGTGAGGGGTGTCCACACCCCGCCCCCTGGAGGGGGTGACTTTTGCCAGTGCCTCGGGCAGTAGGTGTGGTGGGAACGATCTCACCGCCTTGCTCTCCTGGGACCTCATGCTCAGAACCCAGCCGCCATGTTGGGAGGAAGCCCAAGCCAGCCCTGGCAGGAGACCACACAGAGATTCCACAAGGAGCTGTTCAGTCAACACCTGCCACCGTTTGCCAGATGGGGGTGTGAAGACACCAGCTTTCAGTCCCCAGCCTTCGAGTCTTTCCAGATGTTGGGACTACAGACAAGCCATCCTCACTGAGCCCAGTCCAAGCCCCTGAAAACAGGCTCCACGGACACAGTAAAATGCTACTTTGTGCCACCAACGTCCAGGTCCCGGGCCGTGTCCCTCACGGGGCACCGGCTACGCCCTCTGAGACTGGCAGAAGCACTTGATGGCTGAGCCTCTTGGCTGGTCCCCGTGGAGCTCCATAAGGAACGGATGCTGGGTGGGTCTTGTTTGGGGTGCGTGAGGACAGGAAGCCCTAGAGGGTATGGCAGTTCGGGGTGAACGAGAAAGACCCTTTCCCAGGGAAGCCAGGGTGGCACGTGTCCCTGTCTGGGGAGCCAAGAGCATTCTGGGGCACAGCCACTAGGCCGCGGGCTCACGGACACCTGTTTGCTTTCCTGTAGGGTTTTGACAGCCACCCCTGGGCTTGCCGACCTGCCTCCCAGCTCAGCGTTCACGTTCACACCCCCAGTGCCAGGCATGAAGGAGGACCACTGCTGAGCCAGAAAGGCCAAAATGTTCCTGGGTTGGGAGAGCCCGTCACACAAGCCCTGCTTTATGGGTGCATGGCTGCGTCCTCAGCATTTGGATAGGTACCCAGGGACCCTGGGTACCCAACCTGGCTGGAACTAATGAGTGAGAAAGGGTTAGTTCCCATTATGGATTGGATTTCGTCCCCCTGTCTCAAATCAGGAGCTCTGGTGGCACAGTGCCTAAGGCATCTGACTGCTAACCAGAAGGCTGGCGGTTCAAACCCACCAGCCACTCCTCGGAAGGAAGATGGGGCAATCTACTTCCGTAGTGATACTGCCTCAGAAACCCAAAGAAGGGGTCACTATGAATTGAAATTGACTCGACAGCAGTGAGTTTTTTTTTTTTTTTTTTTTTTTTGCCCCCAAACCTGTGTTGTCAATCCTAAACTCTATGCTTTAGGTTATAATCCCATTTGAGAAGGGGTTGTCTTTGTTATTATGTTAATGAGGCAGGCCTTATATAGGGCATGTCTGTTCTGAGATATAAAAGAGATTAAACACACAAGTAGAGCAGAGGTGGGGGGAGAGATGCCACACCACATGGACATCACCAAGGAATCAGGAAACAGGCTGAAGAGACAAAGACCCTCCCCCAGGGCCAGCAGGTAGAGAGCCGCCCTAGAGCCGGCCCCCTGAATTCAGACTTCTAGGCTCAGGAGCTCTGGTGGCGTAGTGCCTAAGGCACTTGACTGCTAGCTAACCTGAAGGCTGGCAGTTCAAACCCACCAGCTACTCCTCGGAAGGAAGGTTGGCCAATCTACTTTTGTAGTGATCCTGCCTCGGAAACCCAAGGAGGGGTCGCTATGAGTTGGATCTGACTGGACGGCAGTGAGTTTGGTTTGGTTTTGGGTTTAAAATGTGAGAGAAGAAATTTCTGCTTATGAAAGCCCCCCACTTATGCTATTTTTATTAGAGCAGTGCTAGAGAACTGAGGTTTGAGGATCCAAGGCTCAGATATACCTCTGGGGTCGACAGGAGGAGTCTGGGAGAAGGCCCAGCAGGCTTATAAGGGTGACAGCCAGCAGCCAAGTGCCCTCAGGACCCTAGGCCCATGAGGGTGCCCCAGGCCTCAAGGATAGGCCAGAACTGAGGGACAGGTCTCTTGACTCTGAAAATTCCTGGGGAGGCTGGCCTGGAGTCTGAGCCTACACCATCGTGGGTGCCACACGGGAGGGGGGTGGATGTCTGAATGAATGGGTGAAGGGATGAATGAATGATATTTGTAAGTGAATGAATGATATGTGAGAGGGTAACCATGGGAGGGTGAGGGAGGGACAGGCCAGGGAGGGAAGAATGAGAGCCGGGTGGGGGGAGGAAGTGGGGTGGGGGCGTGGGGGTGGCTGGCTCTGGACCCAGCACCCTCAAAAGTCTGGTACAGTGAGCAGTGTCCCGGCTGGGCTTGGCACTGGACGGGTTGGGGAGACGGGCTGACCAGTCAGAACTGTACCCACAAGGCAGCCAGCTTAAGCTGCCTCAGTGCAGGTCTGAGGTGCCCCACTACCCCCAGCCTGGGCATGGCCTCTCAGGGCAGGTCCCAGGTTCCCCCCGAGCCTGGGTGTGGCCTGAGGCCAGGAGCTGTGAGGAGGACCCAGGTCTAGGCCCAGCCCTGGAGGACGGTGGCCTCTGTCTGTGGCCCTGGGGCCGCCTACCTTCGAGAGCCTGGGGTCAGGCTGTGTCTTATCCCCTATGAGAGTCCCAGTCCTGGGCCTTGACCGACTCCGGTCCTCAAGCACAGCCCCTCCTGCTAACCCCCGGTCTGTGGGCTAGTGCAGGGCACAGATGCTGATCAGAGTCCTGGAGGGCCACCCGGAACTCGGCACCCCCAGCCCCTCCCTGCAAACGCTGGGGCCCTCAACAGGACCCACAGTCCCCGGCAACATGTGCAGCCTGGGTGGGCTTTGGGGCCCGGATCTTGACACCAGCTAAAGTGTCACCAGTGCTGAGATGGCAGGCCACGTGGCTGCCAAATGTCAGGGTGGGTGGGGAGGGGTACTTGCCAAGTGGTGGCCCTAAAGTTCAAAGTCCCAGTGGGGTTCCACTGAGCGTGGTTTGAAAAACGCCACTCTGCTCCATGGCTCCGTGGTGGGGGCTGGGCGGGCACTAGGTGTGTGCTCAGGGTCCTGGATGCAAACCAACCGGAGGAAGGGAACTCCTCTCAGACGGGCTCTGATGGGGGCCTGCAGTGGGGCCCCCACTCGTCCTGGGGGCCCGGACCACCAGGCCCCCAGGCCCTGGCCTGGAGGAGTGGGGAGGGCAAGAGGGAGGGCATGTTGGAGCCAGGACGTCTGAAGTGGTGGATGTGCACTACTAGTTGAACGGCATTTCCTAATTTCAGCCCGGGGGGGACAGGGCACAAGCCCGATAAGGACCCACAGACCCCGGGCTAGGCTGGCCAGGGCATCATCCCAGTCCTGCCAGTCTGCACAGCAGCCGTAGTTAAGACGCCAAGTTGTAAGTGTCCACCACGGAGCAGCAACAAGGGAACTGGAAGAAAAGCTAGACTCACTGTGCACCCTCCCACAGCTCCCAGCCCTCCACCTCCCCTCTACCTGACCCTGCCGCCCACCAGCAGCTCTGAAGTCTGTCAGGACAGCTGCCTCCTGCTGGCGCTCCTTCCCCAACCCACCCGAGGGCCCCTCCCAGCAGGTGGAAAGCCTCACCACGTGTCACCCGCACCACGTCCGTCCGTCCGGGACAGCCAAGGGCCCAGTTCTTGGTGCTGGGCCCAGCCTTGCAGGCCCTGCCCCATCCTCAGTGCCCCAGCCCTCTGTGGCTGGACTCCTCCCCCAGGACCCCCCATGGCCCTCCGGTCCCCGCTCTCCCCCCCAGGACCCCCCCCATGGCCCTCTGGTCCCCGCTCTTCCCCCCAGAGCCCCCCCAGATGTCCCCCCTTTCCTGCCCAGGCGCATCTTGGAGGGTCTCCAAAGCCTCCCGTACTGCTGGGGCTGCCCCTCCACCAAGGTCCCCCCGGTCCTCCGGTCGCCCGCCCCGACCCCGCCCATCGCCTCCGCGCCGCCCTCCCGGCCTCGCGCCGGTCCTGGAGCCCAGCCCGGCCGCCGGCGGCTTCTGCGCCAGCAGGTGCCAGCACCCTTGTTGACCAGACCTCTGAACCCGCCTGAACCGCGGGGCTAAAAATACCAGCGGCCCAGCGCGCACGCTCAGCTCGGAGTGCCGCGCCGTGTCCCCGGGGCGGGGCGCCAGAGCGCCCCGCGGCGCGCGGGCCGAGAGGGGTTCACAGTACATGGCCA